TTTTTTTTGTTTTTTTTCAAAACGGTTCTCGTTGCTGCAGATTTACATGAGGTTAGGTTTTAATCTTTGGAAAGTTTTTACAAAAAAATTCGCATTTAATTCTTTTTTTTTTTTTTTTTTTTTTTTTCCCAAGGGCTACTCCCTTTTTCTTTTTTTTCTGATTTTTCTGGGTTTTTTTTGCGCTTGTTATTTGCTGTTCTATGTGCTTTTATATTTTTTTTCTTTTCTTTTTCATGTTTTAAACTTTTTTTGGCGTCACTTTCAAGCCTCGCGCGTTCTTCTGTACAGCGCGCGTGTCGTGACTAACTCCCTTAGATTGCCGGACACTGCCGAGTCACGCCCAGTGGTTATCCACCTAGCGTGACCGAATCTCCATTAGCTCAACGGACTATTTATTGGTGACACGCACAACATCCGCTCACTTGTGGGAAACGCAACTTTGTTTCATACACGTATATAGCCAGTAGACTACTCGTCAACTGTCTCCGACAATTTTCTAATGGACTTAAAAATCCGTTTCATGAACTTCCGTGAGATTACAGGCTTGTATAAGTTCCATGCATGCGCATGCGTGTGTGGGGGGTAATCTGGATGCATGTATGCTGCTGAAAATTGGATTCCTTCATTCAAAACCAACACCAAACTATAATATGGAACATGATCCTGACAGAAAATTTTTAGCACACGTAACATGACATCAGTAATTATCGAGAACCTTCCACCCACGACTGCAGCTGTTCTTCCGGGTTGGGCGAACGGCATTGCTAAGGTTTACATGAAACGAAACTTGGAAGTGTGGTTACTACGGACTCTAATTCACATTAAGATGGATTCAGTAAAATTGTTATCTCCTAGACCTCGAAAAGTGAACTGAATTTTGTCTTCTCGGGTCATGTTAGTGTAAATTCAACGTATCTACGAGCTACATGTAAACAAGAAACTGACTTGTGAGAGCCAACGAATGTTTCTTTTTTTTTAACAATTAGATATTCATCTAGTCCAGACACCAAACCAAAAACGAGACATCTTTACTGTTAGAAACACCCAATAAAAGATTTTAGGATTGTTAAATAACAGGCTTAAAACACGCAAATGTTCGCAAAATTTGCAGTTTTCCTCGACAGTGCATGGCGTGACTAAAACCAAGAATTTCCATCTTTGCCTTTTACAAACATTTTTTAAAATGTTTTAAAACCTTGCTTGTTTTATATGAGCTTCGACAATGCGTTCGATAATCTCTCGATGAAGTTTTGGAATTCTATTCGTTAAGGTGGTTGTTTTTCTATAGTATTTCTAACCAGGCATAATATCAAACTCTAGACAAACCACATGGTGACCCATGCAAATCAGTCTCAATGTGGTTTAATAATGGTTTTACGCCGGAAGGAAGGATTCTACGTCATTGTGGAACATAATCACGCACGCATTCAAGATGACTGTTAGGTTACTCACAGTCATTAAAATAGCAACAAGGAAACCAACTGAATGTAATTATTTTACACACGGCAAAGCTTCAACAGGTACACACTGTCTTTAGCAGTATGATGCCTAAAGAGGGCCAACATTGTTTTAGACTTGATTAAAAAATTAGTTAAATCAAAGGCGTCCCAAACTCACGATTCGAGGAATCAATCAAATATTAATGATTTACATGTATGTACACGTGTCGAGTGGGACGTGACCTCCTAAAGTATAGTTGTTGTGTTACACTTTGGGCCGTTGATAATTTGAGCGCTCTAAATGGCACTGTATGGAGTTCAATATAACGAAGGATAAAAACGCGGAACGAAATCAAATGTTACTTCTTTGAATAAAATATAGAAAATGTACTCACCATGCCTGGTTTCTGTTGTCCATTTGGCCTATTTCATCGTTTTGGGGTTTTTTTGAGGTGTTAAATTCTATCGTGAGTTTGGGACGCCTGTGGTTAAACAAGATAGGAAAAAGCTCGATCTCCTTGTCTCTATATGTACAGCGATGTAGTTCCCTTAGATTTCATATCTACAATACAAGTGCGGTGAGCACATACAATGAAGGCAACATTGCAGTTAACAGAAATTCATTTTCAACCACAGTGGCCAAGCACAAGACAAATATTTGAAAGTTTCTGCTACTGTACAAACTCTTGTTCCGTTCAAATTTTCTTTTTCTACTTTTCGATTTCAGTCCAACACACTAAACCTTAAAAAAACATTCGACAGGAATGCAAATCTCCCAGTCTCGATCTCAGTTTCCTTGTGTTTTCCTGGCCTGTGTACAGCCGGCTGTACATAGGCAACGTTTTCCTTAACCTTAAAAAAATATTCCTTGGCTTTTCTCTCCACTTAATCGACAATGACCTCTCAACACCATATCAAATGCAAAATTCAGGCAAACATCACATGCACATTTTTAAAGAAAGTGATCATTTTAGGTGAAAAATGTTCTTAATCTTGAAAGAAAAAAATCTGAGTTTTCCTGGCTGTGGAAACGAACGCACTTACAAACATTACAAACGCAAACACCATGACAGGGCAGACAATTAAAATGTGTAATTAATATAACAAATCAAAGAAACTGAAAACCTTATATGTAATATACATGTAACACTAGGGAGAATTTCGAAGTTAACCTTTGGTTGAAATAATTCCCCTGGCCTTTTAGAGGAATAATCCACTGAACAAAGGACTGCATGATGATGATAAACAACTTACTTTCCTGACCACTCACACCCACGTTGACAATTAATTTTGTTTTATTGACGACTTTTATCTCCCACAACTTTCTTTGAGCTTATGCAAACAAAATGAAACAACAACCACAACCTGACAGTTGCCAGAACATGTGAGGAGTAGAACTACATGTTTATACAAATGATAAACAAAGTTCTATCTTGTGAAATTCACAATGTAAATTGTAATGTACAATAGTTAAGAATACTCTGGAAAATCACTGTCTGAGTAGTTGTGGTTTAACATAATTTATTCCAAGAACTTTAAAAAAGATTTTTTACTCGAGTTCATAGATAGAGCATGGACTACATGTATATGTAGCTGTCTACAATACCTGCATTTTCCAAATGCCACTTGGAATTCTCCGTTGGAAGTCGTCCTGCAAAAGTACATTTAAAATAAATCAATAGATCAATGAATCAATCTGTCCGTCTGTCCATCTGTCCATCTGTCTGTCTGTTTGTTTGTCCATCAGTCTGTCTGTCCATCTGTCTCTCTGTCCATTTCAACATGGCATTTTTAAGCCGTCATGAGCTCAGATAACTTCACAGGTCGTCTAGCTGATCCACAAAGAGACAAATATAGAACTCAACAGTGCATGAAATATTCTAACTTATTCTTACTTCACATGTTGAAAATAGAACAAGTCGTCCCCGTTTAGACTTGTACCTCTTGTTGTTCTACTATATTTTCATGGCCAGTGAGGCCATGGGTTAAAACCTCCTGCGTGTACTACAGTACTCGCAACAGAGAAAATCCCAGGAGTAGCCTATAATTATTATGCCTCAACCAAGCAATGCATCATTTTAAGGTCAAGCTTTCCTTTGATCTCAAAATCCGAAGATGTAGTTGCACATCAAAGAATAAGTCACAAGACCTACCGGAATACAACAGTCAGCTCCAGCTCTCTGAAGTGATTCCTGTTTTACAGGAATCCAAGGTAACATCATGGGTGAAACTCTATGTTAGGATTTCTTGAATTGTTTATAGTCGTTTATAATGACAATATTATCTGAGATTACTTACATCACAAGCTGGTACTTTGGAAAAGAAGCAGCTTGTGCATAAAGTGTATACATGCACATGTACATGTAGCTGAAAGCTCAGAGGGTAAGATACTGCAGCAAAATGTTTCTTTTTTTGTGTGTGTGACGTGTACATGTAGTGTTGTAAATTGACAGAGTGATTTAGATTGACCATGGAAACCTGCCAAATATTGAAGCCTCTTTCAAAGCATTACAAAATTATTTAGTACATAGCATTTTCAGTTGGATGTCTGATCTCGTAACACAGTTCGATGGTTGTAAGATGGATGAACTTTCTACTTGTTTTAATTTTCCTGTTCAAATCAAAAAATTATGAAGAATTAATGTCCACTTTGATGGAACATCATTCATTTGTGTATGATTGTATGGACATAAATGTCTATTTTGCCTACAGTATAGATTAGAAATTCAACCTAATGCTTTCTGTTAATTTAGTTCCACTGACTTAAGTTGTTTTCCATGTCCAGCAGTCTCCCAAAAATTTGAAGTATATATAGAGTTCTCAATGATGATTTGCAGTAGGTGACACTGTGCTTGGTCACAATTTCCCAACCCAAAAAGAGAGAATCAAATCAGTTATCTGATCACTGTGAAACATTTTTTTAATGCAAAAAGCATCATTTCACCAGAAATTTAAGTGCACGTAACTAAACACCACAACCACTGTAAATCATGAAATGTTATTTACTACAATTAGAACTTTGGGCATTTTTAAGTGAATATATGTCGACGTACAATGTACGCGACTGTACATTTTGTGCACGTCAGGTATTGTTACATATTTGTCGTAAAAACTGTTGACCATAAATAAGCCGAGTCAGAGAGTAGTTGACATGCTCTCACAATTTTATCACAATTATTGTTTCTGCAAAATTTGCACTTTTTAGTGAAGTATTACATGTAAAATAATGCATGTAATTGATGTATATACATGTAGATTTAGCCAAGCCTACAGTGTAATTTAAGCAAAGCTCTCATAAACTACTAACATTTTAATACGCAACACAATAACCTTTAAATGAATTCACCGGCAGTAAGTATTTCATCAAACCAAATGAATTGAACAAACAAAACAAGGAAATCTCCAGAAACAAAATACACAAATCGTTCAGTGTCATTTAGCAACTGTTGTTTGCTCTTAAAGCCTAAAATTCTTCATGAAAAATCACCGAATGAAAGAAACAATAAAGAAAATTTGTTTAATATTGATTACCATTCAAGATAAAGCCAATAAATGAATTGAGAAGCCGGAAAACATGCAGAATTTCTTGCTTAAGCATAATTTGAATTACCAATAACCTTAGCCAATAACCTTTAAAGAAATTCACCAATAAACATTTCACCAAACCAAAGGAATTGACAATACAAAACGAAGAAATCTCCATAAACAATGTGCAAAGAAATGTATTGAGAAGGGATTAATAAGTGCTTTTCACGCATTCTTGCAACTTGTGAGAGTCTTAAGCAAATCCAACCCGGTGTAACAAAATAAGAAATTTTAGCAGTCTACAAAACAAATGCCCCCGCTAACACACCAAAAAAGAAAACTATAAAATTCAGCTTGGTAGTATTTACAAATACAGTAAAATTATTGTTCGCCATGAAGTTATCGGCAAAAAGTCCAACAAGGGACACAACACTATTTGTTTACAACTGCAATTTACAATTACAACTTCAACAAATCAACTCAAACTTGTGTTATTTACTCCTTCTGAAGCTATTAACAGTGTATCTCACCGAAGTAACAATGATGACCATTATATGAAGTCAAAAGCTCTAGAAAACATGATAGCAGTTTCTACAACAAATTGTTGCTCAACGCAATTTGCGTCAGTCTGCATGAATTGTCCGGGCAGAAACTTCCAACAAATTTGTAAAGACTGTAATGAGCTAATCTTTTGGATAAGATCATCAAATCAACCATTTTTTTCGCGGTGTTTCCCGTTTTCTAATTTTACCAAACATACGAAACACATTACTTTGATTTCTCTTGTTATTTACCTGATGAATCATGTGACTTTTCTTGCACTGCCACCCATTTTGCACATGAATCAGGGGAGAATTTAAATTTTTTCAGGTTTATCCTGCTGCTTTCAATTGGTACATGTATATATGACTTAAACATTTTTTCCCCTCAGTGTCCGTGGATAGTGACCACCGATAGCCATCTCCACTTCAGGAATAATTGTTTAAATTTATTATTGTTAAAATTATTTGCGCTGAAGCGTAATTTGAAAATTATTCTTGCCGACAACTTGGCAGTCAACTTTTGGGCTTGTCATATAGCTTTACCAGTTGTTTAAAAAATGGAATCCAGCTTCAAAACATTACTGTACATTACCATTCTGTTTTCCTAACTTAGTCCTGAGAGCTGCAATAAATTGGCAATCTGTATTCAAAACACAGTACTGTTGAAAGGGTATTGATGGTCAAGTCTTTTGGCTATCAAAAGAAAGAAAAATTCTCCAGGTATCCTTCACTAGACAAGGTTTTTATGACTCTCTACTCCCTGATGTTCCTCATCGGTGCCTCTTGAACACTGTTTGGTGTTTCATTTTTATTATTATTATTATTTGTTGGCCAAAAAGGGTAATATAAACGAAAACAGGACCTTGAAAAATTTGCGCACATGCAAAGCAAGTGGTGTACGTACATGTACGGACATCGTACAGACAATCACATGACAACCAAATTTTCTCAGCTCGATGGGTTACGAATTTCAAAAGGCTTGCACGCCTTCAGCACGCAGGAGCTCTGCTATTAACAAAGTTTGTACATGTACCTTTTGAACATTTTGTGTCTTGAAAAGTCTCAAGAGTAGCTAGAGTGTCCAAGGCAACTACACAAAGAGCTGCTGCTTACAGAGAACCTTGCATGTGTTATTACTTGTATCACTAAATTTTCTTTTTCTTTTTTTTTGTTAACAATTGACTTGGCTATTGTTTTGCATATAATATTATCACAAAAGAAAACAAATGGCATACATGTTTATAAGACACCGGGCCTTTAAGCTGTGGGTAACATGCTTAAAACCCAATAAAGCATTCAGACACATCTCCTTTGCTTTAATTTTACATTTTCAAAATGTGAGTGCTAGAGGTTCACTTATTGTACAAGTTTCTGAGCTGTACAGTACATGTCAGTGCAATGAAACATGGTGAAATTCTACCTTCAAGACGGCAGCTAAAAAATTACACTAATGGTTGGGATCAAGGGGTAAATAATGTTAATGGTAAAATTTTGACTTTTTAAATCGTGAGACTGATATTTCAATTGAAAGTATTTTAAATGTGAGCATAAGATGTCCAGATTGTAAGGGGTACAGAGACATCATTTATAAAGACAAACAAACAAATCAGGACTTTGAGACTTCCTTAGCCTAGCAAAAAATTGAGACTCCCAGAAAGCTTTGTGAAAAAAATAGAAACTGCAAGATGCACATAACCACTAAAAAAATAGGACTGCAATTTGTCCAAAATTTTGGGACACCCAAGGTTTTTAAAGACTATTTGCCACCCCTGCATCAGGCTGGCACTCATCATAGTGTTTGTAAAATATATAAGCAATCTCCAGTTTACAAACACTACGACATGTGTTTTAAGGTCATTTAAGTTTGTTTGTATCTGTAAACTAATTCCACTGTATCTGTAATTGTGAAGCCTGGAACGAGTTCACAAACACACAGGAGAATGGGCTGAACAAAATGGCAGAGAAGAAAAAGCACAAATTTTGAGGCTTCCAGAGGCTTTCTGGTCTTTCATATACTGTATGGTCATACCGCTGTAGCAAAGGAAATGGCAATGTGTAATGATATAAATTGCACCCATGCTTGAACCCAAGTCTGTTACATTTGCACAATGTAACATTTGAAATTTTGCCAAAACGAGTAATCTATTAGACAACCTGTCACTGAAGTATTTATTTATTATTTTTATTCCATTTTGGAGGTGGTCTGTAGAGGGAGTCCATAGGGGTAGTCCGCAGTCCACTTTCAGGCACCTTCCCTACACTCACCTATTGGTTGTGAGAGGCAATGAAACAATAAAGCATCTTGCCCAAGAACACAATACAAAGTCCTTCTAAAAGCTAAATTACATGCAAATTGTAATGAGCCCGCCATTTGTTCATGCAAGGCTGTGGTCGTACAAAATATATTGCAAAACATAGAAATGCACGAGGGTGTCCAGTAGTTTGGATACAAAGTCGTTTTGATACAAGTCGTTTCGATACAAATCAAACTCGATTCGATACACATCGGCATGCAAAGTCGTTTTGATACAACAACCTGCACAAGTTACGCAGATTTGTGTCACTGAAGACCCGAATTAGCAGTGCCTATATAAATTCTAGTACTTCAATCAGCCTGCTGTATTACTGAACCTCTGCTCGAGTAAATGTACAGTATGTCTATGAAATCCTTCAAGTGTCTGACACATGTAAGCTCAAAATGAGTGTTTGCATGGCTTCAATGTGCTCACCTGTAACTGTAAACATTTTGAAATCAGTCAGCAGACTTCTCAGCTAGCCACTTATCAGGCGTTGATCGCAAGTTATGATGGAATTGACTAGTTGAAAAGGCTTCCAATTGGAACCTCATTGCACATGTAACAAAGTCGCCATCTTGGAATAAGCGCTCGTTGAAGCCTGGAAACTACAAACTGTACTGTACCCCAGGTTCCCGACGTTAATCCAAAAATTGTATTGAACCAAAACTGCCGGAAATTTGGGGAGCAACGGAGCGAATGGTATGGCAATTTCTCAGGGGATTCGCGAACTAATGAATTTCCGAAACCATGCAACCGAAAATTCCGGAGATTCTGGGAGAAAATTGTGAATGGAACGGTGATTTCAGCGGAGAAAATCTCAAAGGTTTAGCTAATCAGTCGCTGGTTTCTAGGCCAATGACGACAAATTGGAAAAGCCCCATTTCTTACTAAAATATACGATTAAATTTAGAAAGCAATGTGTTTATTTCCCTTGAAACGCCTTTAGCCACAAAGTGTGATTCCTAAATCGAAAGAAATCATCTTTATCACCTAAATATTCTAAGCGCGACTAATCTCGTTACTCGATCTTTTCCGTCGAACGCTTGAAACCACCCTTAAAATTAAAATGCGACATAAAGACAAAGTATTAATTCCTAATTGTCGTCACAACTCACCAACGGATAAAAAATTAATTTGCGTGGGCGCGGTCAAGTACTAAGGCCTTATACATGTAGGCAAGGCGAAAGATGAAGTTGTTAGCGTGTATTATGGTGATTACTTTCCATCAGACGATATGCAAAACTTGAGGTCAGTTGTTTTTATTGTCTCTTGTTACAGGCTCCCAGTTTGGCCCGTAAAATGGAGATGAAAATAAAAAGATTGGGGACTGCTCTTTCTCATACCGCTTTTCTCTCAATGCTGTTCGGCTTTATAAAGCCTGATTCTTGTACACAACCCAGTCAGTACTGATCGTTCAATCGAGATTTCATCATTGTTTATTTTATTTCATCCCATACTTTAGCAGATTACAAGTTTAAGTATTTTTCCTTCACGGTTTTTGGTCTTGTTTTATAGGAGGCGTTGACATGTTTTGTTTCATTTGCCGTGGTTTCCCTCTAAGGACCTGCAGAAAACCAATGAAAATAAAAAACACCCAAGGGTTTAAAGTTGATCGAGTCACGCAAAAACGTAAATAAGTAGGTATAAAATATTGTTTTGACTATCAGAAGTAAAGCCTATTGAATTGGCAATGACTTCTGGACTACTGACAGACTCAATACATTCAATACTTGTCAGTCAATACTGATTCAATACTGACTGCAATAGTTGTGCAATGATGCAATACCGTGACTCAGACATCATTCTCTGTATGGCTGGCTTCTGGCTATCCAATCTATTCAAACCTAAATAATTTTGTTTTTAGCCATAGATAATTAGCAAAGGGAGTAAAAGACTGTGCTTTATTCTTCTTTGCGACTTGACCCGGCTACCGTCACCATTTTGGACACGAAATTCTAAAAACGTGCATCAGAAATCCTTTTGCCAATACCGGCAATTATAAGTAGGTCAGAGTTCTTATATTTGTTAACTGAAACTATTTTAGGGTATCAAAGTCAAGAAAATTGTAAAGCATTAAAAGTAAACATTCCATTTTAGGCATTAAAAAACGACTTAGGGACCGTTCATTTTTTATGAGGGAGGGGGGGCTGGTGGGATTTGGGAAGCACCATTTAAAAATCGCGTGACCCCCCCTCAGCTTACCAATTTTTTCACATGGCCCCCCCTTATAGCGGTCATTTTTTGGGATGACCCCCCCCGAAAAAAAAATTGAACAAACAATATTTAGATTTCAACTTTTTTAATAT